CCCGAAATAAACTTTGGGTTTATAACGTTTCTAAAAAAAGGCTCCATTATGTGTGTACGACTGATTTGAGTTTGGTCAGAGATTTTAGACACTCGCGGATATAATGCTTTTATCTTTGATTTTCTGCTAGCGCGCAACCTCGCTGTGACAATTTTTTCAACTTCTTTGTAATTGACATGTTCTCCTTCCTAAAGTACATCCAGTGATAGTGGCTGTGTGTATTCAGTTCCACGAGAAAACGAGCTTTAATAAATTTTAAAAAATGATAATGCAACTATTTGTAAATTGGTGCAACGTAAGGTAATATATGTTGGCCGATGTTCGCATAATGTTTGTAGGGGATGCACTAGGTTGCACGTTCAGATTTTCTACCATTGTTTGCGGCATTCTACATACAATTGCTTACTGACGCAAATTTGACATTAATTACGGTACTTTTTTCAACATTTCACGGATGAGAATTGCTTAATGTTTAGCTTTGGTGTAGCACATCAACTCTTACCGAATTCGGCAGTTGTTTTCGTGGCTAATATAGGATATAGTATTTCGATTCATTCATCCCTATGAGTAGTTTTAGTTTGTTTGTGCAAAATTTATTGACTATATCAAGATAACTCGATTTCAGAAGCTGTGTAGTCGGCTGACCGGAACGAATTGGAATTCACTTTTCCGTAAACTAGCCTAACGCCTGCTGATGGCGTGTTGCGTTGAGTACTCATTTGGAGTGATAATGGTGCCGTTTGTTTAATATTATCTTGAAATGAAACAAAACGCCATACACATTACTTTATTTTTATATTTTCCATCAATGAATATAGCACCTTGCACGGTCCCCGGTTCAAAACAGAGGTATCAGAAATCTTCCAGCGTTTTTAAAACTAGCTGCTTGCATTGTTTTAGCAAAACAAAGCATATTTTTTCTACATGTTATTTAATAAGTACAGCTGAATAATGAGATGACATCTAGAGTTTTCTTCCTTACCTTGCGCGCTAGATGGGAAAATCAAGTAGATATTTAAACTTAATAGGCTCGCACCAATATGTGCCTCATTTGTGTGCTCTCTACGGTAAAACGTATATTCTGTAGAAAGCGGTCTATGATACCTTAAATATTAAAACATTCGTTCTGTTTACAGATTAAGACATAAAATTACGACGTAAATTTAGTAAAAGGCAGAAGGTTGTGGTTGACTGGGACTAGTGTGAAACCCTCTTAACTAAAAGTCGTGAAATGTATTTTTAAAACCGTTGAAATAAATTTCATTTTAAAATTAATTTTAGTTGCATTTCTTGTTATGTCTTACATGGACGTGTGAATAGATACCGATCTAAATATATGATAAGTGAAACCGCTAACCACTTTGTGTCTCATACAGTAGACTTGTAACGAAGATATCGATTACAGATTGATTGGCAATTTATATCAACTACGCGTACGAGAGGTTTGGCAACAAACTTTAATTATCAAACGAAAGAGGTGCTGTATAGGTGTTCTAGAAACTTTTGCAAAGCTGTTAGTTTTCAGTCCATATGTTTAGAATTCCCAGGTCACAAATCAGGTACTTCTCCATAAATACACCAAGGTTTGAGCGGCAAAAACAAACCATTTTTCCTAATCAAATACGCGATAATGCAGGGCGCATCGCATACAGTGTTTACAAATAATTTCTGTGTCAAAATCTCCGCTTCTCTTTCGCATTTGTTGAAATATTCGTCGCGCACGCATCGGTTGTCTTTAATCCCTTTGTACTTGAAAGAATCTTTCTTGATGCCAGTGGTTAATTCCGCTCGATTATCGCGAACAACAAATGTTGAAACATCTTAAATCCATTATACAAATTAGTCAAATTTGCCCCCGGGTTACCGGTTGGGACTGAGGTGACCATATTTGCATTGGAGGATGCAGGCTCTTAATTGGCATCTAAAGCAATTGCTTGCGAATGCAAGCTTTTATGGCTCACAAACGTGCAACAACGGTAATTGTGAAGAATGTTCCCGCGTGAACAGTCAACTCATTCTGAAAATGGTGCTAACTGGTGATTTTTTAAAGGTCATCATAGTATGACATTTGGAAGTTGCCGGCATTAACAGAGGAGAAGCGCGTCCCTAGAACAACAGCTACGGAAAATACCAAAAGCAATGAACTTTCAGCAAGCGGTTGAAGGGATCATCCAGAACAAAATTTGGTTTTGTGTTTGCATCATATCTGACGAGGAGATTTTTGAAATGTGTCCGCTAAAGTACGTTTCCAGATGGCACAAAGGCATACTTTGATGCATGCAATGGCTCAAGCGGTTTGAGAGTGAATTTACTAACCAGAAGTTCCGTTGTTCGAACCCGACCTCTGCCTCTCGACTTCTCCTTGGGCAATCTGGCAGTATCCCAACCCTTGTGCTTCCTTTGGTTGGCATGATAGATGGGCAGCGGAAGAATGTTACAGCTGAACAATTTTTCCACGTGTCTCTTGAACTCTTTCCAACATCTGAGACTGGAAAAGCAGGCGAAGAGCTTAGGATTTCTATGACAGCACTACTCCAGCTATGAAAATGCTCATGCAGTTGCTGTAACGTTCAAGTGTAGGGATTAATTTAGGCAGATACACTCAAAGAACCAAGACTCAAATGACAAATACAATAAGTCGTTAGGCTCTGGATTGTTTATTGGGTTTGCTAGCAACTCCAAACAAACATATCCGTGTTATTGGCGGCCAAATCATGCTCTAGGACAAAATCATGTTGCCTGGGGTTGTGTTCGAACAGAGATCTGCTGATCACAGTTACGAAATCATCTTAAATACCTTGATTTTTACCGTTATTGATTAACAACAAAACTAAAGATATATTATTTGCTTCGCTGATTCGGAACTAGAATGGTTAAAAATCGCGGCATTCAAGCAAACGAAATTTCTTTACTTGAACATTCGAAAATCCTTAGATTTGATATTTACCCCTATCACATTAAACTCAGTATTCTTCCAGAAAAAGCCATTTTTGATGCAATTTCGAACATGTAATCAATAGAAAAGAACAGCTGCTGTATAGAATAAATCAATTCTTTATAGTTTTTATATCATTGCATCAACAGGTCATTATGCATGAACTGTTTCTTTTTATTGTTCATGAAAAAGAACTAAACAAATACAAACAACATTTTGTAATGCGCGTTTCGAGGAAATTTGAGCATGTTATCGAGAAAAATTATTCAGCATGTTTAGAATCCAGTAACTGTACAGGGCGTTTGCTTGGCTTACGATGAATGAATCTAAACACGATCTTTGATTTTGAGTTACATACATTTACGTTGGCTATACGTCCGTTTGAAGCACTTAACCTCATGCACTAGGAAGTGGTTTGGTACCTAAGTGAGAATTTGCAAAATATTATTCAATCGTTGTTTGCGCGCATAATCTTGTGTTTATAATGACTTTAATGTTTTGGCCATGCAGGCTAAAATATTTTGACACGCGAATGCGGCATATTATACTTAGCATCATATACATACGTAAGGTCCAAAAGCATACGCGCTCACGTCTCCATAATTTTGGGAAACGGATTGGGAGGGGGTCGTTTTGCAATTGTGAAAATATTTCCGATAATACTAGCCAACTCATGAAAAGTAAAGAAACGACCGAATTATTGTAGTTCCGTGCAGGGAAAAATAGTTCCTGAAAAATCCTTCGTTCTCTTCGATGAACCGTATGATACTGCCTAGCAAATTCATAAACGTCAGAAGAGTAGCATTACCCGTTACACACGTTCATTAGTAGTTAAAAGCTTTTGGCCGCCATATTAAACTCTGTAACAAATGGCGCAGCAAATCCTCGCCTGCGGTGTCTAAAAGTCTGATGTTTACAAGTGGAACGTTGCAATCTTCCTTGATAAACCACGCAGGCGTTATATTAAGCTATTTGTGGAGTACACCTCGTGCATCAAGAAGTTTAGAGGACCGAATTCGTGGTCAACAATTTGCACGATCCGCCTCAAACTACCGGCATACATAAGCGACACATACATGGCTGAGCAGTTACACCAAAATATCGGCATCATATTTTGAAAGTTTTGAGTTGTCCGCATAGGCGGTTATTTTTTTCAGAGTATATGGCACACCGAAATCTGTAGAAAGTACGCCGTATGCACAGATATGCACTTCCGCAAATCACGAACATGTTTGAACTTCTAAGTGTCTGCAGCTGTTTGAGGGGGTTATCTGTCATACAAAATAGTCCACATGATACATTGTTTGACAAGTATTTTATCTCACGTGCTAGACTGCATTATCCTGCTGGCTTATCCATGCCTAGATCAAATAAAGTACATCCGCATTTCTACATGCGAGTTCGAGGAATAAAATAGGATCACAACAGTTTAGGCAGACAAGAACTGTCATATGAGTAGCTGCATTATACTAGTTTTACTTTCTTTGTGGTAACCTGTGTCTCTTATTTGATGAACAGACTCTTCACATCTTGCATAACTGGCCCACACAAATTGAACCTGTTTGTGCGTCCCAAGGGCTTGGTGGAGTGCTCATTGTAAAGGAAACGGTTTTATCGTTCGTCATGTATTCAAATGTCGTTTCTCAAATTGACACAGACGTTGGGCGGCTGTATGGACAAATTTTGCCAGTGATGAATGAAGCAGTTGGTCGGAACACAAATACGGATATGATTATCCGCCGAAAATGTCCCCGAGGTAAACAGAAACAGCGATTGTCCATTTCTCATCATGAACTTTCTGATATCCGAGCGACACCCTACTGCAGCCTTCACAAGCAGGCTGATCGCAGCCAGGTGAGGTAAACCGCATTCCAGAATTTGCGTCTTGAAAGAATGAAAACACGTTCAGTGTGACTCAGGTCTAAATCGACTGATGCTGAACTTTGTATGGCGGCTGTGCTGCCGGCGTTTACGCGAAGTACACAAAGCACTCAGAGCGGACGATTCCTCATGTCGCGTCGTCTTGAAATTAGCGGGAGCTGGCAGCAAAATATAAATGCATATTTTCTTGATACCACATTTTCTGAGCTAAAAATAATTCGGTATGCTAATCGTTTGACACTCGACTCAATATTTGCAGTCCAGTTGTACTAAATCACACATTTCTGTTCATCTCACCTCCGAAAAATTTGTTGCAACAAAACCAGTGGCGGAAGAATAAGCAGCCATAGTAGCAGCAGAAGTAGCAGCCACAGTAGCAGCAGAAGCAGCAGCAGCAGGTGAGTCTACAAACATTTTTCACAGTCATCCTCAGTTAATACAAACTGGTGAGGCAACCGAATATTTCATATTCGATTCTGTTTGCGTAGTGCTTTATCCCGGACTTCCACGCCATTCCAAGCATTTGATGGGGAAATTCATCATTAATTATAAAAAGGACCCCTCGTAGTGAGTACTGTGTTCGAAAATTTTGCAACAAAACCATTCGATACAACTAGTAAGCTCGTTTGAAGGACCCCAGTGCACCATTCGTTTGCGGTTTTCCTATCCGAGTTGCGTGGTCCACTTTATTCTGAGCAATAGCCGAAATTCAAGCGTACAGATCGAGCATACCATGGCTTTCCAGGATGCCTCAGGGGAACTTTAGCGAAAGTCATAT